CCTTTCAGTGTCTATTCAATTAAACATCAGTGACCATTTTTTGGTTTTCTTACTGCTCACACAACTAAAAAAGCAAACCTGCTTTGTTAGGTTTAGGACTCCCGCTCCTCTATATGTCAGGTGGTCAATACATTATTTGGGAGAAAACTAGTTTCAGGCACAATGTCTTGTATTTTTCCATGTCTTTTGTTCCGTACAGTGACAGTTGGAGTGCACATGAGCAGGTAAGCTGTCACATTATGGGCGGTGTATTGACACATTGTGCTAAATAAAACAAGCTGAAATGCCTTCACACAAATGTGCAATCCACCAGAGAAGAAAGGCTCCTCACCTTTGTTAACTACACTTTGCTTTTCCCAGCTACAACATGACATCACAGCCACACAAAACTAGTTTCTCAGTTTTAAGTACCACTCTGTGATGGTGGAGCTATTCTCTGTGTTTCCAGTCTGCTCTGCTCTGATCAGATCCTACTGTCCTGTAACATCTAAAATGAAAGCCTTTTAGATTTACCTTTAGCTTTTCCGATCGTTTGCCTCAACCACTGAATGTTTTAAGCTTTTTCTCCTCAATACAGGTTGTGTTGGCTGTAGTGGCCTTTGTTGACAGTGGAATGACAGAAGGGGGGGGGGGGGCTGGTTTCAAAAAGGTTTACCAAAGTTACAGCCAACGAATAGCAGAAGTTTCTACCAATGGAATCAAACTCACTAGAGTTTTTGATATGAAAAGCTTTTGAGATGCTTTTGAGAACCCAGCAAGTGAAAAAACTACTATTTGGACTCATTCTATGTGAATCATACCTTTTTCGTTCTTTTTTCTTCTGATTATCTTAGTTTATAATCAAGTATTTATCTATTTTAAGGGTGGTTTGTAGTCATGATCTCTGTTAGCTGATCAATTAAGATACAAGTGCAAACAAATCCAGAGAAAGAGAGAAACATTGTTTTTGTCACAAAAATGACAGATCTGTGTAGATTCTCAGTCTTCCAGGTCATGGTCAAGCTTGGAAACTTAATTTAGGCAGCTGGACGTGACGTTTTGGACTTTACGTCCAGATGCCTATGTATGCCACACAAATGACTTAAACCATCAAGACTTTGGAAATGCTAGGCTAGGGTGAACGCACCGATAATTGTACGAAAATGAACACACTGGAACAGGAAAAAGGGAGACGCAGACAAGAAGAATACATGGGGGGGGGACAAGTGGACACCATCAGGCATCAGGGAGGACGATCAGACTGGCAACACATGAGAAAAGGCAAGGGACCTGTAAGGAGAGGAGAGTTACTATTTCAAAAATAAAACAGGATATGACAACACAAAAAAACTGATGACCTTGTTTTGAAGAGGTAGAAGAGCTTTTACTTCAGGATGTGAGTGCTGACCAAAGGCTTCTTTCTGTTTATGATATAAGAGTTTTTTTATTTCAAAAGACAGTTTACATGGAGCTTCCCTTTTCAGATTGTGCCATTGGTCAAAATAACAGATCTGAAAAACATTAATAATGATATTAATTCTAACCTTCCTTTTCTTGCCCAAATCTTGGAGAAATTGGAATCTGTTTATATATATACACCTAGAAGACAACAGCATTCAGGTTGAATTTCAGTCTAGTTTGCGTTTATTTAATTTAGTCTAATTTATTTCTGATTTATTATCTAATTTATTTAGTCTAATATAGAAACAGCCTTGGTCTGTGTACCAAACTGCTGTAACAAGTTCTGAAAGACAAATCGAGCTAAAAATATGGAATGGAATCTGCTTTGTTTGGTGTTTTAGGACCTTGCAATGTCCCTCTCAATACTCCCTATACAGGGATCTCAGAGAAAAACATCCTTCGTTTCAATATAAATTTACTGTATATTGTTTTAAGGGCCTGAAGCTAAAACAAATAAATACATTCCATTCTACAGGGGGCTTTGAACGGGGTCTGCTTTCTCTGCAGAATGCCCCCCCCCCCCCTGCAGCAGCTAGTCTTCATCTGACAGAACAGGAAGTGGATCAAATGGAATTCTATTTGAATGTGACACATTTGAGATTAAACTGTTGGTTGGGAATAGAATTCCTCTTTTCAACCTGTACATGTTTCTCTATTTTTAATTACACTCTCAAAAACAGCTCGATGAAATATATTTCTTGCTCTACATACAAAACCTTTTTTGAATAAATTACAATCTCTGTAGGAGTTGTCAAAGTCTGGATTTTTGGATTAGTTTAAGTAATGTTTTGATTTTACATTTCAGTTTTTTCTGATTAATTTTATTTTGTGCACTCGCATCCTTTTGTTTTCGGGCCTTTTACTTCCTCCCTCACTGACCACTGCTGCCCTGAATAAACCTTATTCCTACTGTTTCCTCTCTGTGTTTGGGCCCTTCCACTGGTTCCAGAAGGTCTCAGTCCACAGATTGCTGGGGTTAGTTCCTCTGAGCTATATCCATCAGCCTCTGTGTATTGTTCTACCTGACTCTTAGTTTCTGTTTGTTCTTTTTGATAATCAGTGATCTGGATCCAGACCAGCCTGACATGTGCACAGTAAGATTCTTCATTGATTGTCCACATGTGTGTAACACGCTTGTAACACACAACCACAAATGAATTGTTCTAATCTGCTCTTGCTTCTTTTTAGTATTTCAAGTTAAACACTATTTCAATTCAGTAATAAATATTTGTATCATCATGACTATGGTGTTCCGTATGGTGTCTAGTGGTTTCCACAGAAGGTTCAACCCTCAAGTGGAGTGTTTTTGTCAGGATGTGTGTGAAAAGAGGCTGTAGGATCCACATGCAGGGCCAAAATAAAGAACAGGGAGACTGGAACTCCAGGTCAATTTAGGCTATCCTCAAAACGGACAAATGAAACAAAACAAAAATCCTAAAGCTAAAAAAGACCACAAAAGACAAAAAACTGAACAGGAAACGTGGACAAAAGGGAACCAGAAGGGGAAAACACACAAAGCTAGTGAACAAGTGAGGACACACACAGGAAAGTTAAGTATGGAGGTAAGGATCCAACAACGGATGAATGAAAAGAGAGGCTTATGTAGATCAATAAAACAAGAAAACAGAACAATAGACTGAGGGAACTCTAAACCAAGAGCTGTCAAGTCTAACACAATCATAATACACTAGATAGATTGAACTCAAATAACAGGAATAAACAAAACCACTGGGAGAACTAAAAGGAAACCAAACCCAAAAACAAGCTCCTGCTACTTTTCTGTGTGCAGTCTGTGTGTGTCACTGTGCATGCAAAGCTTCTCTGACTTCCCTCCACCCCAAAGTCCACAAACATACAGGTTAAGTTATGCTTATGCATGGCTGTTTGGCCCATCTATCCATGTATTCACACGGTCATGGACTGACCATTAATAATCTGCTTTAGGCCCAGAGGCAGCTAAAACACGCTCCTACGGTTAAATGACTAAAGGTAATACAGATTACGAACAGATAAGAACATTTGCTACAGATAAGCACATTTCATATGTACACTCTTTGAACAAAAGAATAATATAAAACGTAATTGCTTTACCTAAGTCATGTGACATGGTGACCACGTCCAGGTAAGGCCAGTCACTTCCTGTAGAAGTCAGGGCTTCTGGAGGTCTGTGTCCATGCTACTGTAGGCAATTCCAGTTGTCCAGTCCCTGCTGTCCAGCCTCTTCTGCGCTAAAATCAACTGGAATGGTTCCCATGTGTTAGATTTATTGGTACTGTGCGATCAAGAGCTAAACAAAATACATGTTATATCTGCAATTATGAACACTATTTGCTTGCAAAAGTCATGGTATGAACCAATTTTTGAAATAGAAAGGTTTGCATGGAAAAATTGTCCACCGAGCCACCATGAATCAAAATGGTGGAAAAGGAAAGCACCATATAAAATAAATGCTGTGGGTTAATTGGGGAATAACAGGGTTTTTTACTTTGGAGGGAGAGAGGAGGTACCAGGGAGCCCAGACGAGTTTACAGGGTCCAGGTCAGTGTGCCAAGAGTCCCAGGGGGGATGTGTGGGGGGGTCCTTGGGGAGCAGGACTTGATGGTGGGCTGCAGGTAGATCCAAACAGCAAGACAGGTGTCCATCATACATCCAAGAGGCATCAGAAACCATATTAACCCTGTAAGGCCAAATGTATCATATCAGATTCATACGGTTTCTGAAATGTTTTGCGTCTGACACCTTTTGCATAATTTAAAGGTAAAAACTTTGCTCAAAATCCTATTTTACACAATCAGATACACCTGATAACAGGGGGCAGAAGAATAATCTTGACTTATCGCATAGTAATAAATTACTAATATCAAAAATGTATTTCTGTTTTTTCTTTTTACATATTTTGTTAAAAGGCCAAATAAAGACTTCAAACCAACAAAAAGTCATTTTCTGTTTTGTTTTATTCTTGGATCGGGCTTTAAAGGGTAAAGGGGGCCTGATAGCCAGCACCAGGAAACACAGAGAACAAACACCACACTGAACCTAGAAAACGAAAAAGAATACTTTCAAGATACACAAATCTCCCAGCACCGGACGTGGTCCGCAGAGGAGTGGGGGGGGGATGGAGGTGATGCTCTGACAAAATGAGGAGAACCCCCACCATTCCTGACTGGGAATGCCACAGAACACAGGATACAGGGCATGCCCCCCCCCCACTTCTGCAGGCCTTCTGTCATCCGTACCAAAACACCCCCAGAGCTGGTCAAAAACAGGAGAGACCGTCCTGTCCTTTATCAGACAAAAAGGGCTGTGTCCACCATTCTTTGTGCTATTGACATAAATAAAAGTGTGGTCCATTTTCTTTAATTTTCCTTCTTATGAGTGGATTATTTCTAAGTTTTCATAACTTATTTTCAAATTTAGGATGTATTAATGTTTCTATGTTTTAAAAAGAAAGATCAAGCATTGTAATTATTCCAGTATGACATGTGACGTGTTTGATTTATTTCTGTTTTTTCTTTTAAGTGTTGGATCACAGCTTGGATTCTACATGGCTCTCACATACCATGAGTCTGTCCTGTTTGTCTCAAACCCCGGAGGAGTGTTTCCGGTCGGTGCCCCGGCCCAGTGGTGGCCTGCTCAGAGCAGAGTGGCGGGGCCTCGGCTCCCTGCACGGCAGAGTGCTGCTCAAAGGGAAGGAACATTCCTCAGCTTCAGAACTGGACCGCTGCACTGAGTCCTGACAGCCCCTGGGGTGTGTGCACGGACAAACACATCGGTCAGAAAAGGTGGTGTTTTCAGCGGCAGTGGTCGAACCGAAAAGAGTAAAAAATATTCATCCTACCGGCCGGGATCAGGATCAGTTCAGACCAGAATGGCCCGGGGTGTGGGTTTGGGGTTTTTGGTGCTCTTCCTCCTGGTTTGGTCGGCCACAGGCCTGCTGCTGATGGATCAACGCAGAGAAGCAGAGGACCACAAAGGGCTCAGCAAAGCCATTCTGGAAATGCTTCATATCGATAAAGTGTCAGCGAGCCATCATGCCAAACCACATCCGTACATGAGGAGGATCTACCAGTACCTGGACTCCCTGGAGGCTCAGGATTTTGGAAGATCGGATGGACTACTGGTGCAGAGTTTTCGCAGTGTTGATGGTAAGAATTGAAAACAATTAACTATCTTTAACACAGTTATCGGTTAAAGTCTGCTTCTTCCTCTCGTTTAACAAGTGTGTACTTAGCCTAAGTACAGTTTTAAAGTGAGCATGTCCATATGTAAAGTAACCACCCTATTGCTGGTCAGATCTATGGCATTCTATGATATTTTAGCACTGATTGACCCCAACAGTCAACACTCAGCTAGCTTAACTAAAAGTCTTTAAGTGTGCCATTCAAATGGTTTTTATTTGTAGCCTATTCTGTATTTTATTCTTTGGATCACGCAGGTCCCCCGTACGCTCCACCAGGATGGATCTGGTTTAACGTCAGCGGCCTTGACCCCTCCATGCTGGGCGCGGAGCTGGTCCTGTTCAGGAAGACCCTCCACCCCCGCCCGCTCAGCGTGACGGTCAGCCTGCACAGCGTGGTGGCCTCCCGGGACCACCGGCTGAGGGAGAGCCCCCCCCTGGAGGAGCGGCAGCTGACCCTGGACCAGCGGCCCTCGTCCGGGTACGACGTGTTCGACGTGTCGGACGTTGTGCGCGGGGGGGCTCTGGAGGGGGTGGGCTTCCAGCTGCGCTACACGGATGAGAGGGGCAGTCTGGTTCTGCACCAGGCCCTCACTCAGAGCCTGTACTGCCTGGACCGGGGCTCTCTGAGCGAACCCCTGCTGGTGCTCTATAGGGAACATCCTCTCCAGGCCTGACTGTGACCAGAACTACTCTGCGGTGTTTGAATGACATGCCGAGCGTACTTTGATCAAATTGAATTTGTTTTCATTGTCTTGTTCCAGATATAGATACGTTCACTAATGCTGCTAAAAAATAAACTACGTGATTAAAAAAAAAACATTGTTAATTCTGGCACTTCCATTTCTGTTGTTAATATGATTCTGTTTGAGGTCTGCAACATTTCAAAAGAAGTTACAATGTTGGGGGCTTGTAATGAAAGCAACATGTAAAATGTTCTTTCTTTGTGTACTCAAAAGCACAGATCCTGTTTTAATCATCATAGTCTGAGATTTGACTTCTAATTGTTTCCTTATAAAAGGGAAGGAAAGAAATAAAAAAGGAAAAGATTGAAAGAATAAGAGAAAGAGGGGGAGTGAGTGGACAAGGGAAGCAGATAGAAGACAAAAAAGTTGATAAAAAAGAAATCCAGCCACTGCATCTGCGGAAGGCAAAAAAAAAAAACACACAATGCCTACGAGTTGATCCAGGAAAGAGCAGACAGCCATCTACAAACCTACAAAACGTTTCCATGACCACTGAAAACCATTAAAACCACGAAGTCAGCTGTGGGAAAGCGTGTGTGTGTGTGTGTGTGTGTGTGTGTGTGTGTGTGTGCGCTCATTTGTTTTATGCAAAGTTTTACCTGGATTTAGCTTACTCATGAGGGTCAGGGGGCCATAACCATACCTAAAGGAGGAAGAGAGATATCGTTAGGTATTATTTCTAATGAGTGATGTCAACGTGTACATTTTTTATCATGAGTCTTTGAGGAAAAAAGAGTGTAAAAGAATAAAGATGCAAGTTTAAACTGGACACAGATTTTAAAAAAAACTCTGTCATCAGCAGCTGAGATAACATCAACAACAGGGAATCACTGTGAAAAAGTTTTGTTTAAGTCCGCTTTAAGAAATACCACCTCATACTTATGTTGTCCACATCCAAAGCTGATCTGGATTCAGGTCTGGATGGTCTGTTGACAATAGAAATGAGGACAAATCAACATTTAGTTCATATTGTGAAAATGTATGCTGTTTGTTTCAAACTTAATGATTAATTAACCAATGTCAAAAGTCAGTCTGTGAATTTAAACTCTATTGCAGCATCAATGCAGAGACGTTTAATGAGATTTCAGAGCAAAATTTGTTGCCTTGGAGATCCCATTTTATCCAGAGGCATCCATCAGTTTGAGCAGGGGAATGGAAACGCAGGAGAGGAGACGCCACACGTACCGGACTGACTGGCCTGCAACTCTTACCTGTTCCCATCAGGTACTATTACTGAATTTTGGGGGCCTTTCTGATGGAACGCCACGGGACAAAACATGAACTAGGGCCCACACTGTCTATAATGAAGTCAGTGTCAAAGTAAATGTCAGAACTAGTTTCAGATCTGTTCATAAATTGAAACCACCATATTTGTGAGTCTCATTTCACAAATATTCAGCTCCCATTTGGACTGTGACTTAGTTTGTTATACTTGATGCTGTGACATTGTTGTTCAGACTTAGACAGACAGAACTTTATTGATCCCTTGGGAAGACTCCCTTCATTGACTCATTCAGTGAATATAATACCTGCAAATGATAGAAAATTTCTTAGATAGGATGGCAAATAGCTCTCTTGTGGTCAATTATACCATGCTTCAATTTAAGTTGTGCTGTAAAGAAGAAAAAGAGAGAAAACAATAAACAACAATAAAGCAGCAATAATACTAAACCAGCCGAATGAGATCATGTATTGGCCCACTGTATTGTTATGAACTTTGACCTTTAACCAACTAAAAAAGGCATATAGAGTCTGAGAAATACCTCTTTGGTTTATGGCTTTGGTTCCTGGGACGTTAGACAGATATCCTGAGCATTTTCCACTGGTGAATGTATCCTTGGCATCCAGAGCAGCAAACCAAGAAAAACTTCTTTAAAGACGCACACAATGACTTGTGGTGATTCAAGTGAATTTGTTTAACAGTCCCTGGTTGCTCTTTTTATTCTTGATTTCTTTAGAAGAAGCCATGGGGGAACTAGTTTTCCATACGCTGGTTCTGTATTTGTATAACTGGCCTGATAAAACACGTCAGATAGATGTTCAATACATGCTTTATTTTGGGAGAGGATGATTTTGCGTCCATGTCTGAACCCTAAACCAGAGGAAAGTGCCCTATAGCGGCCTCTGGCGGACGTTGTTAATAACTACAGCAGTGTATAAACAATCGTTTAGTAAGCACAAAATAATTACTGGTTTAATATTAGTACAGGGAACTCAAATTGTTCAGTTAGAAACCTACACTATGCTGCACATTTATTGTAGCTCACTTTTCAGTAGAAACGTTCAGAAATAAGAGTTTCATGTCCTGATATAGCATTATAGTTTAAAAATATAGATATATACCGGAAGTGCAAGTTGCTTTTCTCTAATATGATTGGTTTTCACTTTCGTCCATCACGTCGCGTTTCCCAACCAATCACTGTTGAGCACCACCAGCGGCGTCACCGCCTCATCTAGGCGCAGCTCGCGCGGACAGGAGGCGGATCTTCTGGAACATTTTAATGGCGCCTGAATGTTGGCCGGGCTGCGCGTCGAAGCGGTGTCGGTGAGCGCCCGTCCGCCATGTCCCCGCCGCGGCCCTGAGGCCTCGGAGTGACATGACCCTGCTCCCCGCCGCGCAGCACAAAGCCCGTGAAGCAGGCCGTGTTTTTCTCCTCACGCACACGCAGGCGGACGATGCTCCAACATGTCGGGGAACCATTACAAAGGCCACGAAGTCAGCTGCTGCATCAAATACTTCATTTTCGGATTCAACATCCTGTTCTGGGTAAGAGGCTTTGGAGTGGGTTTTTTTTTTGTTGTGTTTTTTTTTTTTTATTACAGCAGTTGGGCTATTGTGTACAGTGGGGAGGGAGGCCGCTCCGCATCCTCTGGCCGGACCACCGGACCGTTAGCTCCGGGGCCGGGGCTCCGTGTTGCTAGTATCGGCCGTCCGGGGCTCCTTGTGGCCGGTATCTGGGCCGTTGGGCAGCCCCGTCCGGACGGGGGCAGCTGCGCCCGGCCCCGCAGAGCTAATCGGCTTTCCGCACAGGCAGCTCAGCGGCTTCCATCCAGCTGACGGGCTCAGGGCAGCCCGCGGCCGGTCAGCTGGGAGGCCACGGGCTGCGGGATCCGGCCGGCGTGACGTGGAAATGTAGAGAGTGACGTCACTCCCAAACGGGACTCTAGAGCCGTAGAGAAGCGGTCAGGGACCCGACTCTGTCCTGCGATAGGACGGGGGGCAGAAGGGGCAGATGGCAGTCGTCCTACCCCTCATGTTGTGTAGCAGGCATTCCCTTTTGAGTGGATGAACAGAGCCTGACGCACGTTTGACGTCAGGAGAAAACCAGGCTGCCGCAGAGCACAATCCAGACCCCGGTATGGTCCAGCTTTCAGGGTCTCTGGTGGTCAGTGGGACCTCCTCACACATGAGCTGTGAGACAGTGGAAGCCCACTGAAGCCGGTTTCTGTGTGCCAGATGACTGATGGACAGGGTCTACTCTGCACAGGGTTGGCTGCTTGCCCAAAGCCGCAGAGAGAAGCTGGGTCACTGGGTGTGAGGGGGCAGCGGGTGTGAGGGTCAGCCGGACACAGTGTGCTCATGTGAATTACATGAGTGGTGCAAAAGTCCTGTCCCAAGCACCCAGTCAATATAAACTGCAGCCAATGGCTGATTACCACGATAAGCAGCGCTATAAACTAAATAAAAAACTTTCTCTCACCTAATAATTGTAGCTGGGCTGTTTAAACTAATATTGTGGATAAAAATAAAGTTTAAAACAAAGCTTCTGTAGGATATTGTTACCTGTTACTGGAAGTAACAGGTGTGACTGGTGTGACTGGTGTTTTGCAGCTGCTGGGCATGGCCTTGGTTGGAATTGGACTGTGGGCATGGAGTGAGAAGGTAAGCACATCCTCTTATATTTCAGATTAAAAAAGTAAGAATCCAGTTGTGTAAGTGGTCTGAACCACATGAAGCAGAGGCTAGGCGGGCATAGACGGCCTCCGGTGGCTTAAGAGCTGCTGGGTCTCCGTGGAGTCGACGGAGACCAAATGGCTGTCCTCTGGTTTAGTGGAAGCAGCTCATCACCCGCGCTAATCCTTTAATGTTGGAAATAGCTCAACATCTGGTTTGTTTTCCAGCTTTCCAGCTTCCTTATGGGCAAAAGTAAAACGCTAAACATGTTTGGTTTTAGAAAATGCTCATGCAGTTCCTGGAACCTGCTGGTCATAGGTGGAGGTCTGGTCTCCTTTATGCCCCTTTGACCCTTGTCCAGACTCACCGGGCGGGGCGATGTGCTCTGTCTCCTTTAGGGGGTCCTGTCCAACATCTCGTCCATCACCGACCTGGGGGGCCTGGACCCGGTCTGGCTCTTTATGGTGGTTGGAGGGGTTATGTTCATTTTGGGCTTCGCTGGATGCATTGGAGCGCTGCGAGAAAACACCTTTTTGCTTAAGTTTGTAAGTTTGACTGCACAGGGGCCATAAACCAACAGAAACGGTCAATGTCCTGCACGGGCCTGACCTCTCTATCATCTGTGTCCTCCTCTTCTCCTGTAGTTTTCTGTCTTTCTGGGAATAATCTTTTTCCTGGAGCTGACAACGGGAATTCTGGCCTTTGTCTTCAAAGACTGGATCAAAGACCAGCTGAACCTGTTCATAAACAACAACATCCGGGCGTACAGGGACGACATCGACCTGCAGAACCTAATCGATTTCACTCAGGAATACGTAAGTCAAGGAAATGGTAATGAAGATGCTGCATAGAACCATCTTAGATTATACCCCAATACCTCATGTTTCGCCCAAACTGTCCTCAAACTGCTTTAATTTAAAGAATTGTTGCTATGCAACTTGACAAAATCTTGAATCTCACCCGTAGGTTTCTTTAACTTAACTTTGGTCCTTTTCTAACTTCAGTGGGAATGCTGCGGCGCGTTCGGGGCTGACGACTGGAACCTGAACATATACTTTAACTGCACTGATGGGAATCCAAGTCGGGAAAAGTGTGGGGTTCCCTTCTCCTGTTGCACCAAGGACCCCGCGGTAGGTCATCTGATGATTTTGATCACTTTGGTGTATTTTCTGCTGGTTTGAACAGTCTTATTGTTTCTGTCTGTAGGAGGATGTAATAAACACTCAGTGTGGATATGATGTTCGAGCAAAACCGGTAAGTTAACTCCTATTTCCTACAGTGGCAAACTGCC